ACAAGTTTGACCTCTTTCTTGGTGAGTATTTGCTGCTTTGCCATTTGTTGCAGGGTCTATGGAAGTAGTATGCTAGAGATTTTCCCATGTATCATAAACGCATTTCGATACATCAAGTGTAATAATACAATTGATTGTAAATTTAAAAAAAAAAAATTCAACTAATTATATTATAATACTTGATGTACTGAGCTATATTTTCAGCATACTGAAAAATTTCTTATGGTAGGCATACGTTGTCTCTTTCCCTGCATTGCACACCATTGTACACCTCACGGGTCCATGTGTCAATGGATGCATGGTGTAAATAATGTCTCGCTCGTTGGTTAACTTTTCTCCTCTACAAGTTTACGGACATCACCATCTTCCAATATCAAACCCGAGAACGATGATGCTCACAGTTTGATGAAATATAGATTATGAGTTTGGATATTGGCTTTGCAATTTTTTCCATTAATCTAGTTATTCGTTCAGTCTACAATTCGGTTAGACTTGCCAAGATTCTTTGCATAATTTTTTTAAATTACATAAAACTACCTCAACTATTGGGTCATTAACAGTTTCATACCTCGTCTTTGAAAAGTTTCAATGTCATACCTTATCTTTGAATTTGTTGCAATGTCATATCTTCCGTCAGTTGTCTGTCAATTCCTCTGTTAAATGCTGACGTGGTTTGAGACAGGGCCTACTTTCTATTAAAAAAATTAATAAAATATTATTAAAAACAAACAAAAAAATCATTTAATATTTTTAAATATTAAAATATTAATTAATTAAAAAGTTAAAAATAATTAAAAAATATTAAAAATATTTTAATAGTTAAAAATATTAAAAATATTAATTAATATTTTAATATTTAAAAATATTAAATGATTTTTTTTTAGTTTTTAATAGAAAGTGGGCTCGTCTCAAGCCACGTCAACATTTAACAAAGGAATTGACAGACAATTGATGGAAGGTATGACATTGCAACAAATTCGAAGATAAGGTATGATATTGAAACTTTTTAAAGACGAGATATAAAACTGTTAATGACCCCAATAGTTGAGGTAGTTTTATGTAATTAACCATTTTTTAATTTAATTGGATCCCTCAGTAAAAAGAAGGCTTCGAACTTAAAAAGTTTTGTGAGTTTTTGAACATTGAAGATAATAAAGTCCATGGTTTTGTACTAGTTGCTTGTTTAGTCTTTTTGAATGAATGGAAACTGTTGGCTGTGAGATCTAAGGTTCTAGGTCTAACAGTTAAAAACACCAGGAAATGTGTCGGATTCAACTTTAAAATTCGGAGATTTTGGACCTTGAAGCTTTTCTTAGGGAATAAAATAAATATCAGAATCCTTCTTTTCCTATTTAAACACTAATTGTTTTATTGTGATTTTGTATGTTTTCTTCGACGCCTGCTATTCTTAAATTAAGATAGTGTTTATTTTTAGGAAGTGAAGATGAATTTTAGAGACAGAAAAACAAAATCAGTAACATATAAACCTAAAATTGCAAATTAATCCAAAAATAAAAAATAATTAGATAAAAAGTTATAGCCATATACATTTCTATATAATTTTTTAAAAAAGTAAAAAATTATGTAATATGAATTTGTCTGTCAGAACATTATAATTGATACTATTAGTCAAGACTCAAAAGTTGGATCTTAATTCGTTGGCTGATATGCAACTATGAATTTTTTCAGTGCTAGCAATCTACGAAGACCGAGAGAAAGCAAAGTCTTTTACATACATACAAAATATTAAAGTCCCAATTAAGACATTATGCTGGCAAATATATAGATAGAGAGAAAGCAAGTTGTTTACATACATACAAAATTATCTCAGTTGTTCCGATTAAGACGTTACTAGCAAATATATAGACCGAGAGAAAACAAGTCAAAATTACCTCAGTCGTTCTAATTAAGACGTTACTAGCAAATATATAGACTGTGAGAAAGCAAGTTGTCTACATACATAGAAAAGTATGTCAATCCCAATTAAGACGTTACCATTAAATATATTAACGGAGAGAAGTCGAGTTGTTTAACTACAAACAAAAGTATCTTAGTTCCAATTAAGATGTTACTGGCAAATACATGGACTAAGAGAAAACAAGTTTATATACATACAAAAGTACTTTAGTCATCCCAATTAAGACGTTAGTAGCAAATATATGGACCGAGAGAAAGCAAGTTGTTTACATATATACAAAATTATATTAGTCCCAATCAAGGCTCAAGAAATTTCATAACAACTGGCTATATAGATAAGAAAATTATGTAGTACACTACTGATAATTACTTATTTCAATGTACCTTTCCATGTTTTTGTTAAAGAAAGAAAAAAGTGACACTTAATTTTAAAACAATAGAATATTATATTGGCATTCTAAAATTTCATTTTGCACTCTAAATTTTTTATAATATTACTTAATTAGAAAGAAAAATACAATTGTAAAAAATGTAAAATGAGATCTTATGAGTGGTCATCAGGACAGGACATCTAACATTTTTGGAGTGATAGCATGAGTCATGACTTGGATGAGTGGTGATGTAATTAAATGATGTGAACCATTTGGCGTTTGCATGCATGATGATGATCTTGGCGTTCTGAAGCGAAGAAATCGTCGATATTAACAGCAACTGCAAGTTGCTGCAGATCAGGACATATGTTATCTACATCCCCAAGTGAATGAGAAAATTCAACAACGGCAAGTTGCTGATGAGGAAAGCGTATGCAGAGACTTGGTCCAAATGTAAAGTTGGGTGTGAGAATGTGAGGACAAAAAGAGACTAAATTGTGTAATAGCTTATAAGAGATTAGAGCACTTCTTATATTGTCAATTGATTTTACAAAAATACTACTCTTACCACATATTTGTACCATTATTTATACCCTCCCTCTAATAGAGATAGGATTCACTTACATTGGTGGACACTACCATTGTTAAAGAGATAATATAAATAATAGTATAAAATAGGTTACACTAGACAGTAAATGTAACATTACTTTTAATTTTATAATAAAATCTCAACTGGCAAAAGTGTATGATACAAGTCGCATCTTTTATAGCCGCCCTTTTTTTAAGGACAGTTCTTGGATACTCAACGAGGAGTACCCAAATTTACTCACATCTGATGTGGTCCAATAATATTACAACATGTGTATTTCAAAACTTTATCCCAATATTCGTATCTTAATAACCAGACACTTTTCATCTTCTTTCTCATTCTGTTAGATGCCATGGCTGATCTGCCATAGCTAATCCATATCCATGGACCCCAGCCACCCCATATCCTCCTTCCACCAGATCCCCCCACAGCCCCGCATCAGAGGATTTGCTCTCTCTTTCGTTCTTTCTCTTCGAATCAACATCAAAAGGGAGTCGCCGGATGCACTCGACGCCGATGATGACATGGTTTCCGGCGAAGGGCAGAGAAGTGGTTCTGGGTACGTCTTTTGGGTACCCTCCATTGGGCCACTTCATTTAGTCAGTCTTTTGGGTACTCTCCATTGAGTACCTAAGTATTGTCCTTAAACAAAAACAAGCCATCGGAATAATTAAGCCAAGGTGGGCGGGATGGTGGTGGGTTCATATGTGGCAGTTTGACTTTCTGTCATCCAAAACATAGGAATTGGATCTCATCCGAATCCACTTCGCGTATCGTGTGCTCAGAAATTATTTAATTTTTTATTTAAAATTAAACATAAATAATATCTGACGAAAATTGACCATATGATATACGATGAACGGTTAAGATGTAAGAATCTTTAGGATCTCATGAAATGAATTCGGAGAGAATCCCTTTCCCAAAAAATATCATCTTTTGACTTTTTCTCGCTGCATCATTCAACTCAAACTTGCAGATATTTTCATTGCAGATATTTTTCATCCCGATTGAATTTTCAGTTCAGCCACAACTTTTGAAAATTCCACCAGAGAATTTTTTTTTTTTTTTTTTTTGAAAATCCAACTTTGTTTTTCTTTGAAAAAAACCACATCCACTTATCTAAAATTCATTTTATCGTTGTATTTATATGCAAAATTATGAATGAAATATTATTCTTTTTACCGGACAAACTTTCAACATACATGCAATTTTAGCAAGTTTAGCAATTTTTTAAGCTAATCATGAAAGTCCTGAGTTCAATACTTTGTAATCTGTGTATTTGCTTGAACAAGGCCATCGGTAGGTAGGGTACAATTTCCAAATAGCCTTTTCCGAATCCGAAAAATGTGGATAACCGTAGTTCGACACTAGTGCCCATCTTTTTAGAAAGAAAAAAAAATTAATCGAATAGTGTGTCATGTGTTTTGCCAGACATAATAATGTGATTAGTTTAAGAATTGTCACAATGACATCCTCGTTTGATGTCATATCAAAATCATCAAACTAACAAAGAATTAATCCTTTGTTCTTTCACTATCGAGAAAACTCCCTCTCCCTAATTACAGTAATTGACCAACTGAGCAAGAATGTTAATTAATATGTCAATCCCTTGATTTTTAAACCAGAAATTTTTTTAACAATCTAGAATTGTACATAAATATTTCAATACTAAAGCAGCCCAATGTGTAATATTACAGTATACAATTCAACTAATATGATTAAAGTATTGGCCAACTCCAGGTGGGAAATTAAAAAAGTGGCTGCCATTTGATCATGCAACTTGGACAAAATATATTATAGGGAAAATTACATAAAATTATCTTAATTATCGGTCGAACCACAATTGTATATCTTATGTTTTAAACATTGCACTGTCATACCTCAACATATGAATTCGTTGTAATGTCAGACATCCGTTAAATTTTCTGTCAATTTAGCTGTTAAATGATGACGTTGTAATTTACCCTATATTATATATGTATACGTTGCAGGCCCGGTCCAGGCCCAATGCAACCGGGGCGGATGTTCGGGGCCCAAAATTGAAGGGCACCAAAAAAGAAAAACCCACATAATTAGTATAAAAAAAATAAATAAATATCCAGCCCATGTTTGACAAAAGAGTTGAACGACCCATCCCCCAATTAACCCTACCCATTTGCCATTGCAATCTCTCTCTCATTGAAACTGGGCCGCGGACCTCATCACAGTCATTGAAGCCGGCACGACTTCTGCGACGATGACCTCCATCACCTCCGTGGAGTTGAATTTCGTAGTCTTTCGTTACCTTCAGTAATCAGGTATGCTTCACTTTGCAAACCCTCAAATCGACTTTTCGAATTTATTTCCCTAATTTTATGTTCCCGTTTTTAATTGTATTGTCATCTTAGGGTTTCTGGGAATTTGGGTGTGCTGTACAGAGTATAGGGGTGTATTTATCAATTGCTGTACAGAGTACTGGACTTAGTTCAAAAACTACCTATGTTTTTGGACCTAGATCAAAAAGCCCTATAACTTAATTAGGGTTGAGAACTATAATTTTTGGGAATAAGTTTGCAAATTGGCTTCCTGTTGCGTCGAGAGGGCATGAGATTATGGTGTAATTATCAAAGAAACTTTATATTAAGTTATTAACTAGAGCTTACTTCAATTTTAGGCGGATTATGTTCAAGAATACAGCAGCTATGTGGGATTTATGAGGGATGGAGCACAGTGGTTTGTGGAGAACACAGACATTAAACTTGTTGGTGAGATATATATATTCGCACTTATGTTATTTTTTATGACATGTAGTTTCTAACAGTCTGCGTGTATGATTAGGGTAATATAATCTTATACTGAGCTCTTCTCAGTGAGATATAACTGATTATTTTGCTGTTTATGTATCATTTCTGTTCTTTCTTTTGAAGCTGACGTGTTCGTCTTTTGTTAAATATAGGAATTGATTATTTATCCGCTGCTGCATATGATGATTTGATTCCATCCCACCTTGTTTTTCTAGAAGGCAGGGTAAGAAAAATCTTTATTTGACAAGACATGAAAGGGTTTTTTTCTTTAGTTCATGATTATTTTAGCTGGATGAGTTCCAGTTGGTAGATTGTTGAACAGTGGTAAATGCAGAACCAAAAATAGAGGCAACCAAGTTTTCATGTTTTTTCAAGACTCAACCTAACACTGCTTTGCAAGTGGTTTCACCTTTCCCTTTGCCACATGCTTTGGTTTTGAAGTGACCATACATCAACTCATGATTTTTATTTTTTTTTGACACTGCTTTGCAAGTGGTTTCACCTTTCCCTTTGCCACATGCTTTGGTTTTGAAGTGACCATACATCAACTCATGATTAATCCCCTATTTGTTGCAGGAAATGATGACCCCCTCCAAGGAGAAATAGCATGGAATAGGACGCCACGAGAGCTTGGTATTTCAGCTTATGCTCTTCAACAACTTGGTGGTTCACATGGTTTGCAGTTGAGATTAATTTAGTGGGATATGTTATTTTACATGATTGGATGAATATCTGGTTGGATTTGGGATGTATTGGATGTGTATTTAATGCGTTATGTGATTGGTTTTTTTTTTTCTTTCTTGCAGCTGCTACATCAAAACAAATTAGAGAATTAATGAAGGTTGATGGGCTTACTAATGATGAAGTCAAAAGCCATTTGCAGGTTTGTATATGTGATTATCCATCTGTTTTTTTAATCGTAATTTGGCTGATGTGAATAAAATTTTATACATACATGACGGAAATTGGAAGCCATTTTGCATGCTATTAGTGGTGAATCTTTTTACACATACATGTGATTATCCTCGTTAAATATATTTTTTTTAAACATGTATTTTCGTATTAAAAAAAGGGCACATTTTGAGCTTTCGCACTGGGCACCAAAAAACTCAGGACCGGCCCTGATACGTTGTCAATATATGACTAAAATCTAATGGTCTTCTTCTTCTCACATGCAATGCATGATTCAGCCAGTTGGAATATAAGTGTTGGTCGTTTTAGTTCATGCCGTCGAGGAGAGCAAGTTCTGCACATGTACAATATGAAGATGAAGTTGATGATGAGGATACTATTACTCTGCTTCCTCAGCTGCTTCTGGTTTCAGCTGTCCTTTGCTAAAAAAGCTACCACTGATCCATCTGAAGGTTCTTTCTCTCTC